TGTGGTAGTTCTCCAGCACATATTTACTTCAGAGAATAAACAAGTAGACTGTATAAATTCCCTTGCTCTTAATGCTGTTGAACTTTACACTAATTCAATCCTCTAAACTATCAAAGCCACTTGGTAGTTTAGTTATTCACACAATTTGGAATGGCCTGAATATGTAATGATAGTACTGAATGGCAAGTAAAAGACATTTATATCTTTCCCTACAAGGGTAAAATCAATAAAGAATACAAACAATAAGCCACTTAATTCAAGTTTTTAGAGAAACAAGAAAGGGTCATCTCACAATCTTTTAAATTTAAAACCAAGAAATAACCTTTTAAAAATAAAGTTTATAGATATTTTAAATTCAATTCCATATTATAATCAATTAAACTAAGGATGCAGAAAGATAAGGATGTGAATAAATTCTGAAATAAAAGCAAGAGAAAGGGAAGAGGTGACAGTAAGAAAATTAATAGAACTTTGGCCTTTGGACTTTCCAAAGCAAGTATCTACTATTAGATTCTTCCCCTGAACCATGAATCCAAAGGTAACAGGAAAGAAGTCACTATTGCTGCTGCTTACACATTTTAATTCAAAACACAGGAAAAAATGCCTTAGCTATGGAAAGAAAGACAAACATAGTTGTTTCTGCAGCAAACACGGTATGCTTGCTATGTCTGCGTGTGTATGTACATAAATAGGTAGGAAATTCCTGCTCTTTTTCTCACCTTTTAAACAACTAGTTTCTTTTCTTTTTGCCCAAGATTAAAGACAGACATGAATTTCTTTAAACATAAGAATCAGCAATGATTGATTTCTAGAATTATGAAGCTTAGTACGTCAGTAACTTAATATATGTACCTTATCAACTCTCTATTTCACTCAAAGATAAACTCTTCCTTCAGAGCAATATGTACCTTGTGGAACCCTCTACCTATAGCAGTTATAGGAAGCTTAGGCTCAGTCTCCACATTATCTGGTAACCAGACTCAAGTAATGCATTCAGACCCTCAAAGGTTCCATCTGCAGTACTCCACTCCATGATAATCTATATTTCTAAAGAATACAAACAAAGCCATTGTTACAGTAGCTAGCAAGTGGTTTTTTCCTAGTATGAGCAAATAATCTTAATACTAAGATGAAAAATACATTTATGCTAATTAAGCCATTCATGAGAGGGAAAGCAGAAGTTCTTGGTTAAATTCTAAATGAAGTTTGGCTCTACTTAATCTTATTGCACAGAATGCAACTTATAGTTATGAGAAATTAGAACCTTACTCATAAAGGCTTCCTGTCCAACCATCTAGAAGGGATTCCCTAAGTTTCCAAGATAGCTTCTATCTACAATAGTCAGAATACCATGAGAAGCTTTTGAAGAGAGAACAAAACATTGTGACAGCACAGCTTTGATTATTATTGATAAAAACCAAAATGGGCTGCTATCAATGTTTAAGAGTAAATTCTTCTCTGAAGGTTTAAGACAAACAAACAAAAACCAAAAAACTTAGTAACAGAGATTGTCTCAGGGGAGGACAGACCTGTCTTTTGTATGTCAGAATTATTTTAAAACCATGTGTATATACATAGATCACACTGAAAGTCAGTATGATGTAATGGATTTCTGGACCCAGAATGCCTCACTTCAAACCCCAACTCAGCCACTTTCTAGCTATGTGATCACTTAATAACTATGTGACATTGGACATTTTTCTTACTTCTCTGTATCCAATTTCCTCATTTGTCAAATGGTAGTAATAATTGTTCCCCTCACTGGGCTGAGAAGAATCAAAGAATTAACAGAGTCTGGAACACAATAGGCATTATGTAAGTATTAGATATCACTATTTTTAACTTTTTCTTTTGAGTTAATTTTAGACTTACAGTCGCAAAAACAGTACAGGTATCCTCATCTCCATCATTTCCCTTCCCCTAATGTTAGTATCTTTTATCACCATAGCATAATTATCAAAAATACGAAATGAACATTGGTATGATATTGCTAACTAAACAACACACTTTATTTAAATTTCACCAATTTTTCCACTAACATTCTTTTTCTAGGATCCTATCCAGGACCTACCTATATTGCATTTAGTTACTTATACTTAGTCTCCAAGATGTGATGGTTCTTCTTTGCAGACACAAACTTAACCAAATGATCAAAGTAAATATCACTAGTCATAAGACGTATCAACAATATAAACTCTCTGATGGTACACTAAAAAGGATGTAACAGCATTTGGTTGTTTTCTTGCCAAAAATGCATAACCTCATTCCAATTATGAGAAAATATAAGATAAGCCAAAATTGAAGAAGATTCTATAAAATAACTGACCACTAATCTTCAAAAGTATCACTACTTTTTTAAACTCTTTAAAAATGAAGAGTAAATTATCTTTTTAATGAATATCTGTAAGTCATGATAACACCCCAAAGTTTGGTTTTGTAAAATTCTAATTTCCAGGTAGTTCTCTACCTATCAACAAAGCCTAATTCAAAAGTTTATTTGGATTCCCTTTATTTCCCACCAAGACGATTTTTTTCATGACAGAACCTATATTTCAAGTTCCTTATAACTCTATTTTAGCAGGCTAGCCAAGAAATCTAACTAAACTAACATATATTATTTTTCTAGGAAAAAATGTATTGTGTGTCTCAACTTGAGATGTCAGGAATACATTTCTTTCTCTTATTCACTCTGTCCCCAACCTGATGGGCAACAGAACTCTGCCTCTTTCCTGGTCTATCTAAACACATCCAACACCCCAGTACTCTGCAGCCGTTAAACAATAATGCTGGCTCTTGGTAATCCCTAGATCTGCTCCCCCCTTACTCTAAAACTACTTCTCTTTTTCCCTAACTCTGGGATTCCTGGCAATCTGAGACCTGTTTCTGGAACCCTTAGTTTTGGCGATATGCTCACATGCCTCTTTTGAGGCTTTCCAGGCTCACCTCTGGATTCTGCACATTCTTCAGATTTTGAGAAGACACCACAGGTCTAAGTAAAAGTCTCCCTCCACTAGTCTAACTCAAGTGGGCTTTTTCATTGCTACTGTCCCATGACTCTAGTACTTAGTATGTTAAATGACTTGGGGAAGAGTTACATAATCTCTTGAAACCTCATTTTCTTCTTTAAAAAGGGGATATTGGTGCCCTTTCTTACAGAATTATTATAAGGACTAGTGAGACACAATATAAAATACTTGGCACATGGCAGGAATCCAACAAACAATGGCAATTATTATGGTCTTCATCATTCATTCTGCTACCATCAACAAGCACAGATGCAAGGTGAGAGTTAGGAAACCAGAGCTGAGGAATAAGCCACATTTCCTGACCACATCTCATACTGCTCACCTACCCACACATTAAAATTAAAAGACTAGAGAAGCAAGAAACATGGAAAGTAAGCTAGATTATGTATGCTTCTCAGGTGAAACCAGGAAGTTAGGAAAGTCTTAGAAACAGAAAAATGAGAAGAACATTCTGTTGACTTTTTATTAAAAAGGAAAATAGCATTCAGCATAATCTACAAAACAAAAGTAATACACAGCCTATCTAAATATTTGAAGGAGTTGTTCTTGTTTTGACTCCAAAAGACATTCATTTAGTCTAAGGACCAAGATAAGAAATATAATATTTGTAACAAAAAATGTCCTTCCAGTTTGTTTTTGTTTTTTTTTTACATTCCTGACTATATCTCCTATTTAAAACATTACATTTAGTTAAAGTTCATTATGGCAAGCCATGGGTACTAAAATGCTCCTTATAAATCACCATTTTATTTAGCCTATTTTCTAAAAAATATAAATTAATCCAATGCAGCTTCATACCTTACATACATAGCTCCTCTAATATTCACATGCAGGACTCATCTCTCCAGGCAAGATCCTTTTGTGCATTACTCTTTTTCCAAATAGCCTTGAAATAATAACTGCCAGATCTATTTTTCCCTCTCCTTCAGCTTCTCTGAGTTGCAGAAAAAATAGTAAGGGAACCTACTGCACAATTTTCCTTCCTCTTACTGAACCAAGCCTCTTTCAATTAGTTGTTTCTAAAATTGCTCATTGCTAATCTCTCACATGTTTCTATCCCCTAACAATAAGCACGTTGTTTCCCAACTTGGAAAATTAACATCAACATCCACATTGACCTGGCAGTTGTAGATTGCAGTCATTTTCCAGGCAGCCAATAAAGCCATGCACAGAGCTGCCTTTGTTGTGAGAAAAATGATTTCTGTGAAGTTTATGGTGATGTTGAAGCTGTTTTACACAACCCACTGCTCCTGGCTCAAATACATGCAAATAGCAGCAAACATTCTGTGAGGAGTATAGAGGACACAGAAAAGAGAGTTTAATCTATTCAATGATAAAAAAAGAACTTGACTGTTTTTTCTTCTAAATTTTAACATACGAGGTCTTACAATTTTACCTAAAACTCTAAAGAAAGGTGATTCATTTTCAAACCCAAGTTTTTTTCCCTATTGAATTATTGTGAAAACAAATCAAGTAGCTTCCCTTTGACATCTGTTAATTATGCTCTAATAAAATAAACTTGTCTCAAACTCATTCTATGATGCCACCATCACCCTGATACCAAAACCAGGCAAAGACACCACCAAAAAAGAGAATTACAGACCAATATCATTGATGAACATAGATACAAAAATCCTTACCAAAGTATTAGCAAATAGAATCCAACAGTACATAAAACAGATTATACATCATGATCAAGTGGGGTCATCCCAGGGACACAAGGATGGTTCAACACACCCAAATCAATCAATGTAATACATCACATCGACAAGAGAAAGGACAAAAACCACATGATCATCTCAATAGATGCACAAAAAGCTTTTGATAAAATTCAACACCCATTTATGATAAAAACTCTCGCCAAAGTGGGTATAGAGGGAACATATTTCAACATAATAAAAGCTATATATGACAAACCTACAGCCAGCATAGTACTCAACAGTGAAAAATTCAAAAGCTTCCCACTAAAATCTGGGACAAGACAAGGGTGCCTACTACCACCACTCCTATTCAACATAGTCTTGGAAGTCCTAGCCACAGCAATCAGGCAAGAGAGAGAAATAAAAGGGATCCAAATTGGAAAAGAAGAAGTAAAAGTGTCACTATATGCAGATGACATGATACTATATACAGAAAACCCTAAAAGGTCCACACAAAAACTACTAGCTACAAAGAATACAGCAAGGTAGCAGCTTACAAGATTAACGTTCAAAAATCAGCTGCATTTCTTTACACTAATGATGAATCAACAGAAAAAGAAAC